CGCTTTCTGTGGTCACATGGCCAGCATGGCTAGATATGGAACACTGCGACCTTCCCATCGAGGTGGTACCTATTTATCTACTTGTATTGGCATGCTTTCAAACTGCTAGATTGGCAGGAGCTGGGGACAAGCGATGGGAGCTCATCCCATCGTGTGGATTCGAACTGCTGATCTTTTGACCTTGCAGCCCAGAGGCTTCTGTGGTTTAACCTGCAGCACCATCCACCTCCCATCTCCCCCATACTGAGCTATCTTAGGAGAAAGAATCACAGATGGGAATGAGAGATGCTTTTTTTGGGGGGGGGGCATTCCCAGAGTGCAGGACACATGATAATGGGCTCAAGTTCCAGGAAGCCAGATTTAGGCTGAATATCAGTAAAAACGTCTTAACTGTTAGAGCCGTATGAAAATGGAACCCATGACCTCGGGAGGAGGTGAGTGCTCCAACACTGGAGGCCCTCAAGAGAAAATCAGACAGCCATTAGTCATACAGTGGTGCCTCGCTAAATGGTGATAATCCGTTCCACTGAAATCGTTGTTTAGCAAAATCATTGTCTAGCGAAAAGCCTTTCCCCATTGGAATGGATTGAAACCTGTTTAATGCATTCCAATGGGGAAGAATCGCCGTTGTCTAGCGAAGATCGGCCATAGGAAAGCTGCTTTGCGAACTGCGGATCAGCTGTTTAAATGGCTGTCTTGCGAAGCTTAGGTCCCGAAAACATTCATTTTGCGAGCGCGGAGGAAGCTGCCAAAATTGTCGTCTAGTGAAAATCGGTTTGCGAAGCAGGGACCAAACATTGTCCAGTGAAATTCCCCCATAGGAATCACTGTTTTGCGAATCGCCATAGCCATCGCAAAATGCCAATGTCTAGCGAAAAACTGTCATGCGGGGTAACTGTATAGGCTTTGACTGGGATTTCTGCCTTGTGCAAGGGGTTAGTCCTGATGGCCTTAGAGGCCCCTTCAGATTCCACCATTCTGTGATTCCACCAAACTCTTGCTCTGTCCATGGAAGTCCTTAGAGCCCACACATCAGCCGCCACCCCCAGATTGTGCATTGAACAGTTTGTAATTATTAAAATATTACAATTTGCAACTCCTACTGGAAAAGCGTGCACCGTATGGCAGGAAAATATGAGCTTCCAATACCTACCGAATGCCTGCAACAGCCTGCAATTAGGGCTCGTTTCGTATGGTGTTGTAAAAGATGCCTGGGGGTACCTGCCCGTTTTCCAACACCGGGGGGGAGTGTCATTGCTCCCTATGGCGTGGGGAGAGAAACATAAGGAATAAATGTCGGGGGGCAGCTCAAGGGGCAGAGAAACTACCCTCTCCGCCCCCAAAATTAATCCAGTGAGAGTCATGAATCCACAGTATTTCATATCACACTTCATAAAACTCCAGTCATAATCCATAAAACTGACATTGTTAGATAAAAAAAAAATTAGAAAGTCAGCTCCTCCTTTTGGGCTGCTGCTCATTAGGCATTCTGTAGTTTTATAACCTTACGGTTGCTACCCAATTACCGTGATTAATACTGTGTCTTAATAAAAGAAATCCCTTGGGAATTCGGGTCCAGTTTGGGGGAAGGGGGTGGGAGCAAGAGGTCATGGTTTATGTGGCCCAGGAAGGGGCAGGGCTTTTTCTGCCCCGCACCCTGTTTTCGAGGCCGGGGGGGGAACGGGCCATGTATCCTATTTCCCTTGGGGGGGGCTGCTGAATTTCCCAACCCACTAGCTATAATTTGGAGTTTCACAAAAGTCACAAGTTTTCTCGCTGCCCTCTTGCATGTGTCGGAGTCAAGGTGGGGGCGACGGTGAAGACCGAGGGGTAAAGAAGGCTTGCCGAAACCTTTCTTTTCATAGATTTAGGCTATCAAGCTTCCTAACGCCCTTTGCCTCAATACTGGAGGAAGCACGTGTCTCTGTTTCTCTCTGATTCGCACAGAATGGTTTTGTGCAAAACCAGTCTCGTTCGCTTCTGAGATGTAAAGCAAGCAGCCATCAAAAGAGGGATCGAGGATCAAAAATGGAATGATTGATTGATTGATTGATTGATTGATTGATTGATTGATTGATTGATTGATTGATTGATTGATTGATTGATTGATTGATTGATTGATTGATTGATTGCATTTATCCCCCGCCTATCTAGTCAAATGACCACTTTAGGTGGCTGAGCTATATTGTTGTGATGTTTAGGCTTTTATTATTTAAATAAATAAATATTGGTATTTTGATAGCCTTATTTTGTTGTAAACCATTCCCAGTGGCCTTTGGAGATAGATGTGGGCTATAAAAATTAATTAATTAATTTAAAATGGGGGCAGTGCTTCTGATGAAAGCTGGAATTAGTGATTTGGGGACACAAGATTTCACTGCCCTTTTAATGAAGCTACAGTCATGGATGACACCAGGATTTTATCCATGCTGAAAGATTTTCATTCTTCCAGCTGCAAAATTTTGCACCTTTCAAATTTTGGCACCTCGGGTGAATGTTCCAGATAATCCACACAAGGTCTGGTGTCACTTCTAATTCCTAAAAGTGCATGCAAAATTCACCAGCTGAAGTTAGTTGGCACCGTTTGAATTCTGTACATTAACGGGTTAGTTGCACAATTCGCCTTAATTTTGCAAAAAAAGAAAAGAAAAAAAGAGGAGCGAGATCTTTTCTTGAGAGTGCCTCAAAATACCTCGTCTCCTTCTCAGGCATGGAGAGTACGAGACAAACAAGGATTTACATCCAAAGGTGTGGGGCGCTAGCCAATGATTGAACTGTACCATGAAACTGTCGTTCACATTTTGGTGTTTTGACGGGTGTGTGTGTGTGTCTGTAAGGTAAATACGACTCCCAGAATGGAGAATCATGGTTCTTGTAGTCTAGATAAAGCAATTTCTAGTGTAGATGAGTTCTACATGTTAGCTGAGTTCTGGAAATCACGAGCATGACCCAGATGTCCCAAACGCCTATAATCTGGATCTCTCATTTAATAGGGAAATGGACCTGGATCTCCCCAATCCAACAGACTGACCACTACACCACACTATCTGTCTTTGGGAGAAGAACCCCAAAACAAGGGGAATCCCACCAAATAGGCCACTGAAGAATGAACATACTGTCCGGTCATGAAAAGTTGACCTGCTTCAGGGAAGTTCCAAAGAAACTTTCCTCTGAGGAGCAGGGTGCAAGTGGATGGAATTGTGATTGACCTCATCCAGTACTCCCACATTTTGTGGCTTTTCCCACTTATCTCTTCCACAGTGCTGTTTCCTTCACTCCCATCCCCTTTGAAGATCTGCCTGCTTCAAGCCAATGAACACATGTTCGAAGAGTGTGTCGGGTTCATAATTTCACCCTCAGAGCGAATCTCGGGAGGCCCCCATTTGTGTTATTTTCGAAATCCCACGATTTTTATTTTATTTTCTCGACAGCTGGTAGAAATAAGATTCTTGTGCTTCTGGCTTCTGAGCAAGAAAGTCGGAGGTGAATCATTATCAAAAAAACAGGGGGAGGAGAGCAAGTGGACCACCCAGCTGACAACACACAAAGCAGTAAAGTGATCCGGTGTCGAAATGGCTGTCCAGGGAATTGTTCTCTTAAAATTGTCTCCGTATTGCAAAGCCTGGTGGGATGTAATTAAGGAAGAGAAGTGGGAGTTCTTAACAGAGTAGCTAATTGAGAAACACTAATGAAGTAGGCTGCTTAATCGTCTACTCTCCCTCCACCAGCTTTTAACGTTGAAGTGAATGCTGTCCTGCAACCAAATTAACAAATCTAATAATCAACTCCTTAGACTTATCTTAAATCATCGATGCTAAATGTTTGTTTGTTTGTTTTATTTAATATTAAATATATGTTGGAGAGTGTCTGTTATGTCTTCCTCATAGACAGAGCTTGGAAAAGTTACATTTTAGACTACTGTTTATTTTTTGCAAAAATCTTTGGTTGCGCAAAATATGAAGTTTTTCGTGCAAAATACAAGATTTTGTGAAAAATGTCCGGTTTTTTGTAGAAGAATCTCTTCTGTAATTATTTCCACAAAGGAAGTCACAAATTATGAATATTTTGCATTCTAAGCCAGTTCAGGAGAAAATTTGGATTGACTCAAATTTACATCCATACTCAGGGATGTCCCAAATTAACATCCATACACATCCCCCCCCCCTTCCGAGCCTCTTCAGGCTTGGAAGGGGGGGAATATCATTGGCCTTTTTGGTAGGCAGGCAGTTTGGTAGTGATGATTTACAAGTAACTGTTTTTAACTAATTACTTTTGGGATGTTACTTAGGTGTTACATTTCAGAAGTAATGTAACGCGTCAGATCAAAGTTATTTTATTGGTGTAACAATAAAATAACTTCTGGTTACTTTGAAAGGGCACTTGTAAAGCATTTTCAGAAGCATTTTAGGTCACCCTGTTATCAATCTTTTGCCCCTTCTCCCAAAATAACAACTAAAAAAAACAACTAAAAAAACCAAGCAGCACAATAAGTAGTAAATTACATTTTCAGCATTGTGACACCAGAATAAAATGCCTTTCAGACATTGTAATGATCAGTGAGAATGAATTGTTCTTTTAAGGTAACTTTCCAAACTTCCAAGAATATAAATTATGAAGTCATGCTTTGGGAAGTCTAGTGTTGATGACTGGACTCCATCCTTCTGCAGAACTCAATTTTCTAGTGAGTGGCTTCAGGAACTTGGCTGCAGAGAACATGCTCTCCGAATGTGTCCTTCATGGCTCAGCACCATGGCCTCATCCTGACCCTACCTTCTTCTGTTTTTAGCCTGATTCGAAAGCTTGTTATGCTCATGGGGGCTCGCGTTAGACCTCTTGAGGCTGAGGTGGGCAGCTGTGGTTCGTTCCAGATGTGCTGTTGGTGAACCACAGTTTCCAGTTGTCCCGGCCAGCTTAAACCAGAGGAACCGAGCAACTGATTGTACGGCGCTAAAAAGCCAACCCCGAACCCTTCCCACAGACCCCTCTTCCTTCCTCTTTAGGTGCTCCTCATCCTTAGTGGGAACCTGAGCTTCCTTAACTGGTTGACCATCGTGCCTAGCATCGCCTGTTTTGATGACGCCTCCTTGAGCTTCCTCTTCAGCTCCAAGAAAGGAGCTGTGAAGCCCCAAGTCCTGGAGATACAAGCCGACGAGGACGCAAAAGGGACGGACCCCTTGTTGCCTTATGGTGAGCCCATTCTTTTCCTCCCTCCGTTCAAGCCCTAAATTGCTTCTCTCGCATGGCGATACCAATTTTCGTCCGCTTCACAGAGGAGAATCTTCCCCTGTTCTACAATATTTTACCATCCCGAGGGCTACAGTTTTGATCCATTAAAGGAAAATGGTTCCAGAATTTTGCATTTGCACCCATGCAAACTTCCCACGCTAGAGTAAAGAGGATATCCACTGGGTACCAACACGTTCTCCTACGGGTTGCCCTGACCTTCTTCCATCTCAGCCACATTCTGCAGAAATGGGACTATGTGCAATTCTCTTGCTTGACCCCAGAGGTAATCAGGCAGTAATTGGGATTTGGAAGTAAAGCTATCCGACATGGAACATCCCAGTCCAACGGGTGCGTTCAGTTTTTCTTTTAGGTCTCTCTCCATGTGAGGAATCCAACCCTTTTGAAATACCCAGCTGCCCGTTTTGTCAGCCCCCAACGGGGTGTCCCTCCTGATTCAAATGCCTTTCCCAGAATATTCTTAGACTAAACAGTTTATGGGAGCATCCGAGGGGCTTTAAACAAAAGCCCTTCTCCCGCAGAGACAGGAGATGAGCTGTTTGTGTCAGGGTGAGGGGTGAGCATCAGGGCAGAAGAAGGGTCAAGGTCTGCTTATTTGTCTGCTTCCTTGAAACTTTCCTGCCCTTTTTCAGTTGTGTTATGGAAAGCTACTGCTGTATCTGAACCTTTTAAGCATATCTCAGACTCTTGAGTGGGTCTATCTATCTATCTATCTATCTATCTATCTATCTATCTATCTATCTATCTATCTATCTATCTATCTATCTATCTATCTATCTATCTATCTATCTATCTATCTATCTATCTATCTATCTATCTATCTATTTAATTCTTCATCTAACTTCCCAGAAGCCTTCACCACCACCTCTGCTGGCCAGGATTTCTGGGAGTTGAAGGCCAAGAACATCTGGAGGGCCACAGTTCGACACCACTGCTTTAGCCCCTCAAATGGGGTGTGTGTGTGTCCTTTTTAAGGAGAAAGGTGGGGTAAAATACTTTTAAATCCATCCATCCATCCATCCCTCTCCCTCTTTCTCTACTAAAATATAACAATGGAATGATTATAACAATAGAAATCCAATAAATAAATAAATAAATAAACGGGGGTCCTTTTTAAGGAGAAAGGCGGGGTAAAAATACTTTTTCATCCATCCATCCATCCATCCATCCATCCATCCATCCATCCATCCATCCATCCATCCATCCATCCATCCATCCATCCATCCAATACAATCATTAAATATCTTTAGGATATCATTTCTGCTTGTCTGCCATGCTTTGTTTTTACCAGCGTAGTTCCCTCGAACCTCTTAAGCTTACGAAACGTCTGTTGCTAGACCAAGAGTGTGATCGCCTCCCTCATCTTCTTCTCCTTCTACCTTTTCATCCTCTCCTGTTTTTAATTTGTGGCGACCTCTTTGCTTTATCCACAGGCTGTTACATCCGCAAAGTCGTGAATGCATCCTTTGGGGTCCTGATTGCCTTTCTCAGTGTCCCAGTGGTGGTCAACTTACTTAGTTCCCAACAGATTATGAATACATCCTTCAACTCCCTCAGGATAGTCAACACCTATGGAGCGTTTGGAAGGTAGGACATTTGTAGCTCAAGGGTGCCAGTTCCAGCATCCCTGCAGCTTGTTTCTCATGGGGTCAAATCACACGTTAAAGCAGTGGTTCCTGGCGTTGGCTAACCTAGATGTTCTTGGACTACAACTCCCAAAAACCCTGGCCAGCAGAGCTAGTCGTGAAGGCTTCTGAGAGTTGCAGTCCAAGAACATCTGGGTTAACTAAGGTTGGAAACTGCTGCATTAAAGGAAAAACATGATTCGTCTGAGAGTTGCAGTCCAAGAACATCTGGTTTAACCAAGATGTTGGAAACTGCTGCGTTAAAGGAAACACGTGCTTCATGCTATTACAGTGTTTTCCTTCCTGACACTCAGTTCCTTCAAAGCTCAACCAGACTTGGATATAAACTCTGTGTTTGCATCCCAGGAACCAATTACAAAATAAAACCATCATTAAGTAGTAAATTTGGGAAAGAGGGAAGATAATTTTAGGATTAAGAGATGTGTTATATATTCTCTTCTGAGGACTTTCTACTCATAAAATCTATTTTTTAGGCAAGGAGAAGGAATGGTTGGAAATGGCATTGGGGGGTCTGCTTTTTGCTGGCTCCTTCCCTGATTCTTGCTCCGAAGCAGGGAAAGTTGTGATTTTGGGAAAACATACTAGACAACATGGCCAGCAGCTAGAGACGTCTGGAAGATGTAGTCCGAAGAAGTAACTTCCCATCTTTGCTGCCACGGTGATGAGCTTCTGTTGTGATTGAACATGGTTCGCCTTTGACCCTGTAGCTGGACTGCCCTCCTTTGACCTCCCCTGACCCCACTGGCTTCTGACTCTGCCTTTGGATAACCCTTATCTGATCCATCCGTCCTTTGCTTCGACTGCACCAGCGTAGAATCGGTCTCTGGAAATGAGCCCTGGAACCTACCCACCCTGAAACAGGGCAAAATCCAATCAGCTTGGTGGAAGGAAATGGGTTTACTCTATAGCCTTGGGTAAACCTTGCAGTGCTTTGGACTCAGCAAGACCAGAGTTAATGGCAGAAAATAAGAAAAATGGTAAAGAAATTTGCTCACCCCCCACACCATTTTCAGGAGTTACACGGTGGTTGCGCTTTTCACCATTTACAACCGAGTTTTCTATTCCACCAAGAAGTCCTTTCCTTCAGCACTGCAGGCTCTCGCCATCAGCCGGAGGCCGTGTGCAGGTTTTCAGCGGACGAATGTAAATAATATATGGTGGAAAGAAATAGTCACTGGACAGATAATTTTTTTGTTGGGTTTGGGAGCAAAATAAGAGAGCCAGAATACCCCAGTGCAATTTATTTACAAGTTGCAGAATCTACATTTATTCTTTTAAACATATGCAACAGAAGGATCCCCTACCTCATTCTTCTGCATGTGTTGAAGTTCATGCAAATAATCGGAGTGGTCCTTCTGGAGAAACCTCTGCTTTCTCTCCAGTCTTACTGTTGCAAAAATCTGGGTTGACCTTTCTTTTTTTTTTCCAACCTGTTCGGAGTCTTTGGTGCCGATTTGGAAAGGGTAGAGCGGTTTCACCTTGGTTTCCTCGCACCTCTTTGGATGATCTTGGCTTCTTCGGAGCCGGGGCTGTTTGCTTTCTTTGGGTTGTTGTTCCTCCTTCCCCTCCTCCCGCCTCCCTTCCTGCACCTTGTCTCTCTTCAAATCAGCAGTTGCTGTTTCAACAGCTAGTAAGACCCCCATGAACATGTGATGGAGCACTGCTAGAGCACATTAGTAATTCCAGCCTGTGTAAACCCATAAAAAGAGGATTGCAGCTCATAATGAATATATGATTATGTGAAAGCTGACATATTTCCAAGAGCACAGTAGGAACAAACTTTTTATTAGTAATTTGGTGTCCCAGATTTACAGCGTGTTGGGAAGCGCCAGGCAATGGGCCACCTCTCGTAACTCAGCCTGCCGCGCAACACGAAGTCTTGGCTGGAGACTCTTAAGAATATGTTGAGCGGTAGGTAGCGATTAGGATAAGTGGTCTGCGCCTTTAGCCGCCAAGCTGCCTACACTGGACAAGAACACCTCCTAAATGGGGCCAAAGGAAGATGAAGTGGCTTGATGGATCAGACTTAGCTGGTGGACCTTGGGTCACCAGGTGCTCTTAGACTACAACTCCCAGAAATCCTGGCCAGCGCAGCTAGTGGTGAAGACTTCTGGGAGTTGTAGTCCAAGACTACAACTGGGGACCCAAGGTTATGGGAACTACGGATCTAGACTAGAGATGAGAATCGTTTAGACTAGAGGTTTCCAACCTGGGGTCACCCAGAGGTTCTTGGACTGGAACTCCCAGAAGCCTTCACCACCAGCTGTGCTGGTCAGGGTTTCTGGGAGTTGCAGTCCAAGAACACCTGGGTGATTGATCCAAGATGGGGAACCACTGGGGTCGACCAGAGGGCGTATCCTTTAGTGCAGCTCCAGAAGAGGTCCTCCCTGAAGGCTCCAGAGGGGTACCGTCCCCAGTTTTAATGCTTTCACAAAAAAGGAGTTGATGCACCACTTGGAGATCTGGGGATTGGAAAATGGGGTGGATGAAGCCTCCCCACCAAAAAAAATTCTGAACTTGGCTATCCCTGATCTATGCCCATCTGTTCCACCAAGGGGATTAAAACCAGAAGACCTTGTTTATTCTTATGCAGGCTTGCCTTGATTTTGATAAACGGCTAGATAGCTCAGTGGTTTGGGTGCATCTGGACTTTGATTCCCCCCCCCCATGGTGCCTCCTTGACAAGGTCTGGACTCGATGATCCAGAGAATCCCTTCCCGCTCTGGTGTTCAAAGATTGCCTCATGTTGCCTTCTGCCAATTATTTGTTTATTTATTTATTTGAAATTTTAGAAGAAGCACGCTGTGTTTATTCGATTTATGCGACATCTCATTAGTGTAAGCACTACTCTGGGTGGGCTGCAGGTTAAAACATAAACCCCACATAACAGAATACATTCCACCATCTAACAGTGTAGGTCTAGAACTCGTACTAGAAAACAACCACCACCCAAAATTAAAATGGACAGCATCCGGTCATGATAAGATGATGCATGCCTGATACCCCAGGGACTCCAAAGGATTTTCATGTGTAAAGGGGGAGGTAAGAGCAGGAAATGCACGCTTCTTTTAGCGTGCAATCTGATATTCAGTGTTTTCGGAAAATAACTCTTTGCTGTCTTTTGCAGCATCACTAAAGAACGCACGGAGGTTGTTATTCAAGAAACATCCAGTCTGGATCCAAATAACCCTGCTGCCATTTGGGAAGAGTATGAGTTTAAGTGTAAGCCTGGGGATCTGAACAGGAGGCCCTGCCTCATAAGCCCCTACCACTATCGTCTGGACTGGCTGATGTGGTTCGCCGCATTCCAGGTGAGTCTCTGACCGAGGGGGTGAATACACCAGCGTTGGGTCTGCTGTGGGGATAGGCCGGTTCGCTTCTTTTTGCCAGTGACCACATGACATACCGTACCAAACCAAAGCTGTCGACCAAACCAGAATTGGGCCTGCTGCTTTAAATTCCCTATCCGGTCGCAATTTCCCCATATCATTAAGCTTAGCTACTTATGATATTGGGAAATTAAAAACTTTCTCTATTCCTCTATGAGATGGGAAATTAAAAACTTCCTCTGTTCCTCTATGAGAGGGGGCAGAGGGAGGAAGCAAAGGAGTTTGTTGTAAGCTTATCAGGGCAGCGTTGGCATGCTGTACCTTTTAGGAAAAAAAGTGTTAAAAATTGAAAATGTCTTCCTGGTTGGAGGAGGAGACAGGAAAGTGCAGTAGTTTTCTTTCTTTTATTAAGGAAGGTAGGCCAAATGGGGTCTATGCCATATGGACACAAGGATTGCATTAAATGGCATGCAAATGCTGGAATGTCCCTCAGCCCATCAACTGACTGGAGTCACATCTATCCAATGCTAACAGAACTTTTTTGCACCGCAGATTGTCAACCTTTTAGAAGCTTTCTTAGGGAATCAGACTCTTCACCCTGATTTCCATAGTTCCACTAATGTACGGAACAGGCTATGCCCTTGGGCCTGTACGCACACATGGGCGTGCATGACTGTGCATGTACAAGAATGGCTGGATAGCTCAGTGGTTTAAGTCTCTGGCTGCGGAGCCCAGAGGATGAGAGTTTGATTCCCGTGACAGGGTCTGGAATGGACGTCTGGAATGGATGATCTACAGGGTCCCTTCCAGCTCCTCTGTTCTAGGATACTACAACTTCTAGGATATTATGATGTTGACCAAGCTGGGTGTTGTGTGATTACATCCATGGAGGTCATCTCTCCATCCATGCAACTATTGCACCTCCAAATAACACCTTCGGTGGTTGGCGCAGGAGGTACGACGCTAGAATGCCAAGAATCTGGATTTTTGAGACACCCTTTCTTTAGTTTTACGTGGTTCGTGATTCGAGGGTGCCTCTTGTATTTTCACTAGGCTTTTCTGTCAACATCATTCTCTTCCAAGCCAAGCTTAATACCGTTCAAGGTTGAAGGGCCTTCAACAGTGTGAGGTTGAACGCAGCTGGTTGAACACCTGAGACCGGCCAGCTTTTGATAAGCTGCCAAAAAAAGCCAAGCAGGGCCTCCATTTTCCCATCTCTCTCGTCCGCCTCATGACAGGTTGCTCTTTGCACCTCATCACAGCTTGATATTTGACCCTTTCTTCTGCTTTGGGGCTTCCTGAAACCGCTTTCCCCTTCGGTGGCAAGTGACGAAATTTCCACCGGAGCGAGGTGGCGTCAGGTGGAGAGGGGTAGGCCTGAAGCCTGTCATGGCTGCCGGAGGGCCCTTCAGCTTGCACATGTTTGAATAACTGCCCCGTCCGAAACTTTAGATGCTTGAAGGTTTTGCGCCGGAAAGCCTGGCTCCAAAGAGTCATTTGTCCACAATTCTGTCGCTTAATTGCTGCCCCAGACGTGCCTTTTAATTGCATTTCACATAGTGCAGCGTGGCTTTCCAAGAAACGGCTTTTATTGCTGTAATTTTATTAGCCAAATATAATATCCTTTTCTTTTCCCTCCCCCTTATAAATCTCTCTTTGTTTTGAAAGTCTTCACATCCCGTGGGAGTTGTAGCTCTCAATTACTGTCTTTCTCTCGATGCTGGCAAAGACGTGACCAAAAAACCATGTACTGTACACAATATATATATATATTGGTCTCCTGATAGAATCCGCCTGTGTGATACTGAGGACAAGGCTGTGACGTAACTGACAACGTCCAAATAGTATACACAAACAAACACACACTCATCTAGTGCAGAACTTTCCAAAATGGTGGCAGTACAAGGTACACTCCACTCTAGAAACTAGAATTCACGGTCTTTTACACCAAAGATCCACTCCATCATCTCGGATTTTCTCTCCGAAATCTCCAGTCATGGGTTGCAATTGATCCAGAAGCCCTAACAGCGACAACTTGTGTGTCAATGTTTCCCCACACCCCCAGCCCCAAAGCATGGCTACCTCTACTTGCAATAGAGGTCTGCAGGTGTGTGTGCTTTTGAACTACAACGTCCAGAATTTCTAGGCAGTCTGGCCACTGTGGAATTCAGTGAGTCGTTGACGAGAAACATGCGTCTGTCCACCTCTGGTTTGTGACATCGCTAGGCAAAGTCACGGGCTCTGTTTTTGAGAAAGGGGATGAAATTTTGCCGTATCTTTGAGACTTAATGAATGCAATTCACCAAGAAGCTCTCCCATTGAGAGAGAGAGAAAACTGTAGGCCATGTTCTGGCTAGTAGTGGCCACTCACAAGGAACCCACCAGAATCCAGAAAACTGCCACTTGAGCGCCTTGTTCTGGAACCCAACGGAGTCTTTCGTACCTCTGACTTCCCCTTCCGTGCTTTCCTCCCCGGTTCCTACAAAGTAAGGAAGATTAAGGAGAGGTAGACAAGTTCATCGGCTCGAGAGGGAATCGTTGTGCCCGTTGAAAATTCTGGAGGCCCTAGAAACTGACACCCCCCCCCCAAGAAAAAGTTAAGGAGAGGTAGACAAGTTCATCGGCTCGAGAGGGAATCATTGTGCCCGTTGAAAACTCTGGAGGCCCTACAGACTGACAGAAATAAGGTTGGGATCTTGTCTGTTGCTCCCACTGGTTCCTCAGCCTCTTGAGTTCAATCAATCAATCAATCAAATAAATCTGTTGCTCTCATTGGTTCCTCAGCCTCTTGAGTTTGCATCCAAACAGCTGTGAACTCCTGAACTACAATGGCACACCATGAAAACCAAGTTCGTACATCTCCACCGTGTCCATGGCAGGCCAGTTCATCTGACCAGGCTTGGGTGTGTCTTCAGCAAATGAGTTCTGTCAAGTCATCTGAGAGAACAATGGTTCAGAGGGAGGGAGCGTCCCTTTAGAAACGTTGACCTTACTGAAGAGAAGTCAATGCAAAGAGTGAGGCTTCTGATGTCCATAAAAGTTAACAGGATAAGCCTCTTCTTGCCCTATTCAGACGGTGTATCTGCCTTAGATCAGTGGCTTTCTTCTTCTTTTGTTTGAGACCACAGCTAAATCCACGTGTGCTCCCGAGACAATGAAGATCAAGCTCAGTTGATATGAGGACGGTGACTTTTAAACCCTGGAATCTTGCTCCATTTGTGTTTCAAAGTGTCCCTCCCGAAGGATATGCGACCTTTGAACAATGTGTGGCCTCGAGACATTTGAGCAGGTTTTCTTCGCTATGGTTGGCAAAATAGGCCACCTGTTGAAAGCGAACCCTGTTAAATGTGGGTTTTTCTCAAAGCAGAAGAGATTGTGTTCCTTGGAAACTTCCCAGATTCTGGTCTCCCTGCGGATGTTTCCGGAAGCCAAGCGGCAAAATACGGGCACCATATTTCTTTCTGCGGTGTCTTCTCCCTCTTATAGAGGTGTCTTTCTAGAAGAAGCACCAAGTCTTCTCTGTCTAGAAATGGTGTCCTTGGAGGTCCCTCAGAGAGCGAATGAGGCTACATGGCTGTCTGCACTAGAGATGGGCCTGAACTGCTGGTTTGGCAGTTCGTCTGGTTTCGTTTACAGCTGCAACAAGAATTCGGCGATTCGGTGCCCTGGCCTCTCCAGTGGGCACCCAATCAGAGGCAGTGCCAGGAGGAGGCAGGACAGGGGAGCCAGGATACAGCCTCTGAGCAGGCACCGAAGAGAAGAAGCAGGGCGCCAAACTGCCGAACACCCGTTGTGGCAGCAAACGAACTGGGGCGAATCTACGAATCAGCAGTTTGTGCCCACCTCTAATCTACACAGCGCTGTTCTACCAGTTTGTTGGCTCTTTAGCTGCCATGGTTCCATCTCGTGGAATCCTGAGATTCGTAGTTTGGGGAGGTGCCTGGAGTTCTGCTGTTAGAGAGCTCTAGGACACTCCGGGGAATTAAAGTGCAGAATTCCAAACTACAAGTTCAGCGATTCCATTCGATGACGCTACAAACGTTAAAGACTCATACAGATGTACTGTAGTGTGGACAACTATTCCAGATCTGTAGCAGTTGGTTTTTGCCTGGAACAAAATTTGATTATATGACTTGTCAAGGACAGTTCAGCCGTTTGGACAGGCTTCTGACCTTACATGCTGTTTGGGGAAACTGAGGCCTTGATAAGGAGGCAAACCATTGCAAACATGCTAATTTTATTTCTGTTTGCTTGCTTGTTTGTCTGAATACTTCTCATAAGCCTTGATGTCCCTCTGCATAATTAAGGGCACGATGTTTGCATTAAATGAATCCAGACTAGATTAGTCAGAAAGTCGCTCAGTCAAAACATGTTCAGAATTCGGTGCCAAATTTTGGGCCATTTCCTTACTTGCTTATACTGATTTTTTTTTCCTGACTAAAAAGTAACATATAACATAACAAGATGGTTTAAATAAATACTGACCCAAGTCTTATTTCATTTCACCCCACCAACATATTGCACTTAGCATACATCTCATAGATGAATGGTTGCAAGTTAAGATTTTAATGCAGGAACATCAAATCTGTGTGCTCACTTCTTAATGTGTGACAATTTCCCAGTAAGAATTGCACCAACTGCATTATTTAGCAGGATTTAGGCCAACAGAATGTTTCAGGCAACGAGTTCCATTTTGTTACAAATTACACAATGTATTACTTTGTTAAAAAAAAACCAACTTTTCGAATATTGACTTTACTTCCCGCCGTTCCTCTGTTTTGTACTGGCATTCCCCCCCCCCAAATATAATGTATTTAGGGATGAATGTTGTGATTTCTTGGACTACATATCCCATAGTCCTTAATTCTGGAATTTCACCTGGCAAACACCTAAATGTCGCTCGCCTGGGAGAAAGGCCTTAGCTTTGAACCTTAGCTGGACCTAGCGCCACCTAAACTTCCTTTTTCTGCCCTAGTGCGCTACTTTTCCTTTTGAACAGGAAGCTTGGAAGAACTAGGCCTAGCTAGGTCTCAAAGACTTCCAGGTTTCTTCCAAACGAGCCACATTTAGATGCCTGCAGAGTTTGTAGTCCAAGAAATCAAAAAAAATCCAATCTTTCAGTGCATATTACCGTATTTTTCGCTCCATAAGACGCACAGACTTTCCACCCCCCTGTTTTGTGGGGAAAAAGTGCATCTTATGGTGCGAAAAATACGGTACTTTCTCCTTTCCCCATGTTTATCAGCAACCAAATATGAAAATTTAACAACATTTGGGTATCCGCAGACAGGTACAAATCATGAATGGGGGAAAAAAGCAAGTTTTGTTTTGAGTCTCCTCTAAAGTGTCTCCGCTTTTTCTGACGAGAAAGGGGGGCTATTTCTGTAGAACATCCTGTCTTCTGTGCTTGAGGCCACAGGAACAATAAACATTTGACTGGTTTGACACAAAATTGCTCCGTAACCCTCTTTGCTTTGGAACACGAATCCGCGGTCTCACAGGTAGGGCTGCCGGCGTTTGTTTTCCTACACTGTCCCCTGCTGCTTGCTTCGGAGAAAACCTGTCCACACAGGATCTGTGCAAAACCAGATCTGAGAAATATCTTTTTCACAGTACTATGAAGCTCAATCAGTAGAGGTTTGGAGAGCTTTCTTGGTGGAATTCAAAGCACTAGTTCTGAGTCTGAGTGACGGAGAGTGCTGAAAATGGCTTTTTTTGGACTGCAACGGCCAGAATGGGGGATTCTGGCAGTTATAATCCAAAATGGTTTCAGTTTGCAAGCTCCAGATCCACCTTGACGTCACCAGAAGACTCGAACAGAAGGTCTAAAATTCAGTTTTTGGTACCAAGTACAATAGACTTATTAACGCTGTGTAGAGAGATGGGCACGAACCACCGCTTTGGCAGTTTGGGACTTCCCAGCCCTGCCTCCTCTGGTGGGCGCCCACTCAGGGGCAGCTCCTGGAGAAGGCAGGGCAAAGAAGTTGAGGCACTGCCCCTGAGTGGGTTCCCAGGGCTGGGAACCACTGAATAGTTTGTCCAAATCAGCTGTTTGTGCCCATCTCTGACTCAGTGGTATCCTACTAATTTAGCACTCAAGTCGACCCTATGGATCCAGTAGGTCTACTCTAGTTGGGTCTAATGGTTGGGGTGAAATGGCTTTGTCGTAATGTGGGGAAATCGTTACGCGGGGCACGACTGTACATTCAAGGCAGTTATGTTTTTGTTGACTTTTCCCAATTGTTCTCTTTCCCTTCTATGCCCCGATCCTCCACAAGACGTACGAACAGAACGAATGGATCATCCACTTAGCAGGAAAGCTTTTGGCCGAGGAGAGAGAGGTTTTGTCTCTCTTAGCCGTCAACCCCTTTGAGGGCAGGTCGCCTCCGAGGTAAGCTTTGATTAAGGAAAAGTGCCTGGGCCCTTGGGATTCTCAGCGCAAAAACCCAGATAAAGTGGCCTGTACTGGAATGTATTCACAAAGGCAGATGAGAGGGCCGTAGGGGGATCACAAAAAGATCTTCGTAAAGCGGATTTGATGTAATGTGGGGCACGACTGTACATTCAAGTCAGTTCTGTTTTTGTTGACTTTTCCCAATTGTTCTCTTTCCCTTCTATGCCCCGATCCTCCACAAGACGTACGAACAGAACGAATGGATCATCCACTTAGCAGGAAAGCTTTTGGCCGAGGAGAGAGAGGTTTTGTCTCTCTTAGCCGTCAACCCCTTTGAGGGCAGGTCGCCTCCGAGGTAAGCTTTGATTAAGGAAAAGTGCCTGGGCCCTTGGGATTCTCAGCGCAAAAACCCAGATAAAGTGGCCTGTACTGGAATGTATTCACAAAGGCAGATGAGAGGGCCGTAGGGGACGGTGGTCAACGTTCTAGAAGAAGACCGGGTAGAACTGAACCTCTACTCACCCATGAAGCTTATGGAATGTTCTAGAACCTTCACCCCTCAACTTCACTTGACATGGTTGTTGTGAGGAGGAAAATTAGCACCGTGTGAGTCTGAGTTTCCTGGACAAGACATGACATAGAAAAGTAATAGATCAGAGGGTGAGCAAGCTGTCTTGACTTATGCATAGCTTGGAAGCATTACTCCCACCAACAGCGGGGATAAGAACGCATTAGATTTAAGAAACTGACATGAACGTTGTTGGTTTCGTATGAAACCAGAAGCCAAACAGATTGGTTCCTCTGACCGTTTTAAAGAGGATGCTCGAAAAGTAACATTGTAATGCATCATGGGTAATCTTTGGTCAGGCCAGCGAAGGCAACGCCGGGATATTCCTGGCAAAATTCGGAGGCCCGTCAAGTGTCTGTCCTCTTTGATTCGCTGGCCCTCTGGGAAAAAGTCCAAAAGGATAATGACAAATTCTGCTCCTAATAACAGTTCTACTAATAATTCTTTCAGCCATTCGGT